ATAGATGGGCACAATATTTGCCCTTTTCCAGTCTTCTGGAATTTCCCCTGTCTGCCATGATTTTTCAAAAATCATAGCTAAAGGCTCAGATAGCTCCTCTATCAGCTCCTTGAGTATCCTGGGATGCATTTCATCAGGACCTGGTGACTTGCTGACATCTAACTTTCCTAAGTGATTTTTAACTTGTTCTTTGTGTATCCTATCTTCTAAACTTACCCTCTCTCTGCTTGTATTCACTACGTTAGGCACTCTTCCAGACTTCTCGGTGAAGACTGAAACAAAGAAGTCATTGAGCATCTCCGCCATTTCCAAGTTTCCTGTTACTGCTTCTCCCTCCTCACTGAGCAGTGGGCCTACCCTGTCCTTGGTCTTCCTCTTGCTTTTAATGTATTTATAAAAGGTCTTCTTGAAGAAGTAGAACCGTGTTCCCCTGCAATTCTCTTTTGGGTCAGAATGACCAATTTGAGAAAAGCTTGTTTCCTCTGTGAAATCTTCATAGAATCGGGTAAAGACACATAGAAGACCAAATTTCACTGGGGTGGGGGGAGGACCATATATCACAGTCTGTGACATATTTTTCATGAATTTGAATTTGGTAGGGCACTCTAGCCTCCATTCCTAGGTTAATCCTAGGCTACAATCATGGAGAGTGAAAATCTAGGAGTAATTTGCTTGTCTATTTTCATCTCTTTATCTATTAGTAATGGTCCCCATAATCTTCTCCTTCAGCCCACAAATCTCTAGGCAGTTTGAGAAGTGTGGAGATAAAGAGACTGCTTCTGGTGGGCCAAGGAAAACATGTTTAATGCCAACTGACTTCAAGTCACATATTTAAGTGCTTTGCAGAATCAGGGCCCTAAGGAGTTAAGCGTATACCTTAGCTCTGTACAAATCAAAGTGACTTTTTGACTCATGAGACTTGATTACTTTTTCAGACTGTGACATCAGCAAGGACATAGTCACGGATATGTCAATACACTAAACATAAGTACTGTTTACTTCTGAAGAAAAGCGCACACACCTTTTTTTTTTTTTTTTTTTTTTTAAAGTGTGGATGCTGCTTGGCAAGAAAGGAAATGGTTTGAATTATTAACCCAACAATTTAACACAAACCTCATACATACCTTCTTCTATAAAGAAAACAGCAGCAAATGCCAATCATTTTGCACAGTGCTCTGAATTATGTAGGCTCCTCTCTTTTTAAAAACAATGGTATTAAAAAAATCTTGTTCTCCCAGCCATATCACTATCTGCATCTCAAGCTGGAGGCTGGCCTTCTGACTCTCCCTGCCACTGTTCTTCTCTGTAATTAACTGGCAGGCACAGAATCCTCTGTCCTCCACAGACTCCTGTCACTCTTTGTATGTGTTCTCGCTTATTTTCTGGCTTTTGGCAAGTTTAGCTGCCAGCAACCCATGATTGTATAGCAGTAAGGACAGCTGTGCTAAATACGGCAGTAGTCTTTGGTCTTGTTAAAGAATAATGAACTGGAAGAGATTTTTATTGTATCTAAATAAAAGCAGCACTTGCAGCTTTAAGAGGAGAAATTGTTTTGTGTATTTGTTTTTTTAAATTATGGCACAGTTTACAATCAGGGACTGGATGTTACCAAATCAAGCTTACCTACTTTAAGAGATTTGGCCTGGGATAACATAACCAGGTCAAAGAGACAAGAGACTGTGAATGTAATGGTATGAATATACCTTATGTTGAACAGTTCTCCTTTAGGGTATCTGGCCTTTCTGCTGTAAAGAGTACAAATCTTTATTTTTCATGTCAGTCTGAATAATCATTGCTTGGGTGTCTTTTGGTGCTGGCAGGAAAGGGCAATGGCATAATTCATACAAATTGTGTTTCCTAGGAGGGTTCCCTCTTTTTATTTTTCTTTGTTAAATGGTTGCATAATAGAAATGTAAAAAATCAGCATACTGATAAAGAAGCAGCCCAGACTGATGGCGTCTATCTATAACTAAGTAATATCATACTTCCCTGCATTATCTGGGCTGCACTTAGCTGATGTTTCCTCCCCTGCCACATATCCTCATACTGGGCAGTATTGTCATGTATCCAGTGCTCCTAGATAAACTACTTTTCCCCTGCAAGGGTTACTCATATAGTGATTAACAGGGTGGAGATAAAGCAATTTCCCTGAGTCCCGGCTTCCCCACCTTTATGCAGATGGGGAGTGGACAGAGCTTTGGCTCCACCTCCAGGAACCCAGCCAGCACAGCTGAGCTGATGTGGAAGGGGATGCAGTTCTGCCAGTCCTTGGGGTTTTGTCACCCGTTGGCCTTATGGACTCCACCAGCTCTCAGGGTCCCACCACCCACTGGCCCCATGGGTTCTGCTGGACTTTGAGATCCCACTGCCTGTTGGCCCTAGTATGGACTCTGCAGCTTACTGGCCCTGCCAGCTCCAGGGTCCAGCCAGTGGCTCAGGGCTCTGCAGCTGCCCCCAGGTGTGGCCCCAGCATGGAGTGGTGAGGGTTGCCAACTCTCCTGGACCCGATGCCATTTTCAGCAATGGAGTGTAATCCATCTCATCCAGGCGAGTTGGCAACATGATCTCAACAAGTCTAGAGCTCACTACCTCCACCCCAAAAATAATTCCAATGCTACTGTCCCTATCCTGGAAACTAAAGCACTTTCCTTTATTATGGCCAATCTTAATCTTCAAAGTAGAGCATTTGTGGTTCATAGGTAATCCAATAACTTGGAACCAATTGTAGAAAAACAAACACTCCTAGTCTATATGTTAAAATGTTAGTTTTGCCACAACTTGCAGAGAAACATGTTATACAACTAAAACTGTGACCTTATCACAAACCCTGACAGAACATAGCAACCCAATCACCATATGATCCCTTGGTCCTTCTTTGTTCCAGAGGAGGAATGATCTGTCTGAGCCCGTCAATCACCTTAAATGCAATCACACTAGAGGTAGTCCGAAAAGTTCAGCTATTTAGGTTTTACGGTGACCATCAAGCTTTCATTGGATGAAGAACTCAATGTTCACACTCGAAAGGCTGACACTACCTTTAGCAGACTCACTAGAAGAGCATGGAACAACTGAAAGCTTGCTACTGTGCCAAGCTTGTGTCCTCAGCACTCTCATGGATGGTGGGGAAATATGGACAACTTATGCTCATCAGGAGAAAAGGTTAAACAATTTCCACCTGCAGTGTTTATGCCACACATTCAACGCCAAATAGCAAGGTAAAATCACGAATGCAGAGGCTCTTCAAAGGGGCAATTTGCCAACTGTGACAGCCCTGCTCAATCGAAGATGACTGTGCTGGCTGGGCCATCAGAGTAGGTTGGCAGATTGATGCATAGGCAAGAATGTGCTACATGGGGAGCTATCAGAGGAATTAAGAACAGGGTGTCCCAAGCTCTGCTATAAAGACACATGCAAGTAAGATATGAAGGAATTGGAATTTATCCTGACCAATGGGAAACCTTGGCAAGTGATCGTAACAAACAGTGTCATTGTCTCCATCAGGGTATCCATGACAGAAGCTGGCTTCTACAGCTTGAAGAGAAAAAAGCACATGGGAAGCAAGCAGCTCCCAACGAAAATACATACAGTCACAATAACTGCCAAAGATCATGTAAATCTTGGATTGGACTTGTCAATCACAAGAGACATTGCAAACCATCTACATCACAGGCAGCAATTCCCACCATCTCTTGTAGATGAAAGGATGCCAACACCACACAGTTCATCATAACTATTGTCAAATGCCACAAAAAGGAAGCAGCACAACGGTTACCCAAGATCAGTGTTTCCCAACTAGTGGTACGAGTACTCTTAGGGGTACTCAAGAGAAGTCTAGGGGGGAGAGTACATCAACACAACTGAAATTTGGAGAGAACTGAATTTTTGTTTTAAGTTTTACAGCACTTTATTATTTTTGTATTTTTTACACCCAAAAATTTAATCGCCTGCCCAGCTATGATTAAGATGTTTAAACAAATGTGTTGCAATGGTAGAAAAATATTTACTGTGTCTGAAAACTGTACTTACGGGGGGTACTTATATATTTTTTAAAGGGGGTACTTTTAAAAAAATCACAACTATCTAGTGTAATTTTACTAAGCTTCACCGTAATGCCAAGAACTAGATCCTGCAAACATACCTTTATTAGTTTGAATAGCCCCATTGAAATGAATGGGCCTGCCATGGGAGTAAAATTGAGCACATTTATTTGCAGGATCAGGCATAATCATATTAGCAGCTAATGAGTTTAACTGTGAAAGCTGTGACAGGCAGTACAAGGGAGAACATGAAATGAAGCATAACTTTTCAGCGTGAGTTGTGAGACATTTTGTAAGCAGACTGCTGGAGCCAGGGCTATTACATTACACCAAATAGAAACTGTCTGTACTGTGGAGGATAATTAAAGCTGCTACTTAGTAACTGTTAATGTTGCTCAGTATGGAATAAAATAAATAGATTCTTAAAAACACAAATTAGAGAAGTGGGGGAAGAATTAGATGAAGCCCATCTTCCTGGAAATGCAGAACCTAGTTTCTTCCTTAAGAGCCTGATTCCCAAAAGTTTCATGAGTGTTTTGGTGGATGGGGAGCAATGTTATCCACTCCCACACTTTGATCATAAGTTGTTGAAGAATCAAGGCCAATTACTATATCACCTATGAGAACGAGGCACTTTCTAGTAAATGCCTCTTGTATTTTCAAAATAATCTCAAACAAATACAAAACCATAATTTACAAAAATCCTGAATTGCAAATAGAAAGTGTCAGGTTAAAATGCTTTTTAAAAAAAGCCTTTAAGAAATAACGCTTTCTGTTGATTAAAATAAAAGTTTAAAAATATAACTAAGGTCCATGCAGCTCCCACCAGGTGGGACTCATTTCAAGAGCAAAGCCCTACTTTTCATCATTTTATATTTGTTTACTTCTCTCTTGGCTTGTCCAATAAAAACACAGCAATCGATTTCTCTTGTTTCTAGCCAGTTTCGCTTTCAGATTCTTCTGCAAGGAGCACAATCTTCCTGCAATTATGTGTTAAACAAAGCGGAGGAAAGTTGTTGGGTGTTTTTCCGTATGGATTTTTCTCTGTGGGGCATTTCCTTTTGGATTGTGGATTATAAAATCTAAAATTTGTGCCAATTCGTGACCTGAGAGTTTTGCCTTTTTAACCGGAAAGTATGTGTGACAAATGAAACCGAGCTGCGATGTACATTAGGGAATTAAATGTCTAACACTTTGCAGCGCCTTGCATGCGTGGGTTTCTCTAGGCAGAAGCGCTGCTGAACGTACACTGGATGGGCCAACTGTAAAGGGAGCTGTGTTGTCTTTGTGCACATTGCGCTGCTTTCGTCTTCCTGCGCTGTATGTGGAGCTGCTAACTCAGAGGGCGAGGCGGGGGGAGGCGCGCCCGTGCAAACAGGTTCTCCTAGAGCTCACCGAGAGCTGGGACCAGCTGAGCATGAATGAAACCAGGGGGAGCCACACCCGGCAGCTCAAGCAGGAAGTATCCAAGCAGCAAGGAAACACCGGCCAATGCGCGAGACTGTGCAGCTCAAGAGCCCTCGCTTGATCTCCTCCGAGCGCGATTGTCTGGTGAGCGCTTGGGTCTGTGCCTCAGAGGGGACCAATGGGAGGGGAAGAGCCCTGGGGGAAAGGGGAGGCTCGGGTGGTGTGGGGCTAGCCGGGGAGGAGGGCTCTTGGTTAGAGAGATGCACCTGCTCCCTCCGCCTGGGAATCATTCTCGTCCCCTATGCAGGGGAGGCAGGCTGAGCGAGTGGCACGGGCCAGCGGAGGCAGAGTTACAGCCTCGTGCTCCTGCTCCAAACAGAGAGGCGTCTGGGTTGCTGGTCCCCCCTCCTCACTGATTCGCTCTGCCACTGCTTCACCCCCAGCAAGCCTTTGGGAGAGCCGCAGTTGGCGCGGACGAGGCTGCACACAAGACGAACCCGGTCTTGCTTGAGTAGCTCATTGTCTTCAGTGAGACTAGTGCGTTTTGCGCTAAGGGGGTTAAGCGGTAGCGGTACATCTTCCGTTAGCTGCCCTCCTCATTTCCCCCTAGGCTGATAGTGAGTGTAAAACTTCTTGCTGCTTCATTTTCCCAAGCGTACAGTCAGTTAAATGTCTGGGCACTTGGAAGTTCTGTGACTGAACCTAATGGTGCCTTTAAAAATACATTCTGTTTCTTTTTTCTCATGTGGGTTGAAAGAGTTGTAATAATCTACTTAGCTGCAGGTCCCAAACAGGAAGTTTCCTCGGAGGCGTTACCTGTCAGGTAACCACCATAGGAGGTGCACTTTTTAGGCATCATTTATACAACCAACTGTCTTGCAAGAAACCTGTATTTGTCTTGAAAGTAGTAATTGTGTGTGTGCATGTGTGTGTATATATATAATTTAAGGCACAGTGTTTTGGACAAGCAACACTAAAGTGATGAAACCCAGAGATAAGCACTGTTCAGGATGGTGTTGAATCCTGGTGAAACGGATCTGTAATGTGTAATCAAACGTTCCAGGATGTAGGCTTTTATAAAGATCAGGAAATTCCACTACCTGTTAAACAAGGTAACCTTCGATTCTCTCTTTCCTCTGTTAGCAAAATACCCTAGGAGACGCAGTCATTATGCAGCCAATAATGACAATTCCTATTTAAGTAGTGGCCTTGATTCAGCATATTGACACTTAGAGAGACTGGGCAGTTATCACTAATTGAATGATTCAGGTTTGCTGGTCATCACTGATAGCACCAACTATGTTGCATGTTCCTGAGGGTTTTGTTTAGGTTTGTTGTTGTTGTTGAAATCCCTTATGAGTTATGACAAAGCACAGGCACATAGAACATTAAGAGAGTTTATAAGCTAAAGAGAATAGCAGTTTAGGGCTAGGTTTTGAGTTTCATATTGACTTAAGGGAGTGAAGAATTCCTTCATACCTGCTTACTCGACTTCTCCCAGAGTAGGTAGGAATGGGCAGAGGCACAGAGCCTTTTCTCTAGTCCCCCAGTGCAACACTGCTTAGGCCAGTGTTGAAGGTTGTTGCAATTTGCTACTGGTATAGGCCAACAACAAATTATTATATCTTCAGGGAGGAAGCAAAGAGGGAACTATGCCTCAGAGGTCTGTAATGCACAAGGTCTCTGGGGATAATGCATTTTATGCGCCACTCTAGCTCAGTGCTTTGCTTAAAGGTACAATCTAGCCCTGAGATTGCAAATACTATTTCAGAGATAACTATAGCATGCCTTCCCCCACACTATCATAAAAGGAGGAGATGGTAAGATGCTCATTTATCCTGAACTGGATTTAGGGGCAAGCGACCCAGGTGACTGCTGGGGTGCTGGACTGCATGGGGTGCTGGGCTTGCAGATTTACAGATTCTAGCATGTACATTTATCATCTTATATAGCAGGATTTGTTTTAAGTCATGAAATAGGCTAAAATGCAACAAAAATAGGGTATTGAAAAGTTTAATTAATGGAGCTGCAGGCACCAAAGATGTTCCTTGCCTGGGGTCTAGAGCCATCCCTGCATTTATCTACCAGGTTTGACGTGCTCCTTTCCTGCTACTTAGTTGCTTCTTTTAGGTTAGAAAATTAAGTCCTTAGAGTTACTGAAAACAAAACACTAGAAAACAGAATTAATTTTTTTTCTGATGTGTATTTACACTTGCTTCAATAATAAAAAAGGATGATTCCTCAATGAGTTACCTATTATGCTTGCCATTGCCTTTGTAACATACTACTTCCCCTTTCAGATATCAACTTAATATTAATACTTAATGATCCCATGCTGCCATAAAATGAATATAACTGTTACTATGGCTACATCTTTGTCACTCTTGTCACGGATTCTCATTTTCATTTTTTTAATCACTTCAGACGTCTGGTGAACGGGTGGGTGGATAGATGTGGTGGTAAACAATTGAAATTTTCTTCCATAAGAAGTTAGGCTGAGATCTGCTCCCTATGCATAAAGACAGAGATTGGCAGCTTTTATGTGGGTGGTGGATAAGACAGTGAAATCAGTCCCCACAAACTAGTGTCAGGGTGCTGGGCAGCACTTTCCATGCAGCCATTATTTCAACCTTTTGTACCAGTTGTATGAAGCACAAGATTCTGCCAGAGCTCCATTGTGGCCTTCATACTAACTTGTGTGGGACTAACATGGAAAAATATAGCTGACGTGTGCAGTCATTCATGTGTGTCTGCTTCAGCAGCAGAACCCTGGGTGAATGTTATGTGTGTGTGGGGGGAGGGGGGGGGACTCTTGACCTGGCTGTTCATACCACATCTGAATTTCACTCAAGAAGAAAGGAAAGTTAAACCAGGGTCAGCATGAGAAGCTAAGGAAGCAAGTGCACAGCAACCACAAATACGTATGGCAACATAATGGAGTGGACCAGTGAATTCATGGTGTTGGGTAATTATTTCAGGGGTGATTAGATTTCTCCATCTAAAGACTTAAACTGAAACATCTAAAATATAAGTGGAGTTAGGCCAGCTTTGATACACTCATTACTGTGTTGAATACTGGCTGCTGGTGGAAGAGCAGAAGCACAATTCTTTCTGCTAATACAGGGGAATAAAGATTAAAGGACTAAAGTTCACAAATCAATGCCTCTGGCATCTATGTGACATCTCTTAACAATCCAGTAAGTCCTTAGCAATAGTGAGGACTTTAAGATTTTTCTTTAGCTTACATTCTTTTGCTTGTCTAGGGAGGCCAGTCTTATTATTTATCATTCTGGGCCAAACATGCCAAGCAGCAGTGTAACTAGTACACCCTGCAGTATCTGCAATCAAGGTTATTATGTACCTTTTCTTATTAGAGGAGAGGGTTTAAAATAACTGTATTGGGCCAGGAATTGGTAAGTTCCCCATGGCATCAGAAATTTGAGCGCATCTGGTGTTTTAAAATACATCATTGCCTGGTAGGAAATTGCCCACTTGCAGTCTCTTGGGGTCAGAAGCAAAGCCAAATGAAATCAATGGGATCGTTTCATTAACTTCAGTGATCTTTAGATCACATCCTCAATGAGGTCTTTTTATCTGTTCTGATGTCATCGAGAAAAACGTATTTGGGTGTGGTACCAACAAGGAGACAAAGGTAGCCTTTAGAAATTTATAATTTTTTTAATGGTTTAAACTGTTGCTACAGATTTTTGATGTCTTTTTTTTTTAAAGTTGTAGCACTTTATTTACATTACTGAAAATGGGAACCACTATGCAATTAAAACACTAACGTTTCAATATCTTTTTAAATCAGAACAGTTGATCATTCAAAGTGACTGAAAATATCAAAGAGAAGTCCTAAAGGGGATCTGCTTGGTCTGACATCTTTCAGAACTGTTCCACAAAATTCAATTACACAGCATTAGGACCATCCTAGATAAAAAGCTTGAATCCGGAACAATCCTTTTCCAAACATAGCATTTTGTCACCTAACCCCCGATTCTGGCACTGAAGTAAATGGCTCAACTTCCCCCTGGAGTTCATTTCATCGTTTTATTTACAAGAGATCAGTGGTAAGTTGTTTTCAAGTATACCATACTGACATCCATCCCACATAATACCAGATGTTATCTGAGAGATTATTCCATTGACTCAGACTCTCTAACTTTTTTTTATTTCTTAGAATGTAAAATAAGTCTTTATTAAAGAAATGGTTTTTTTATTGCATAATGAAGAGCCCTGCTAACAATTTTTTAATCAGGAGAGTTGATGCTAGTACAGAGTGATATAGGGGTCAGGAACACATTTCCATCATCAATAATTTTGTATGCTAGAGAATAAGCACTTCTGCTGTTTTACTTCACATATTATGTGCTTGGAGAGATGAATCACAGCCTTTTATTTTGAGTTATTTGGTTTATGTCTGTGAAAAAAAAATCAATGGTTATCATAGACACAGATCCTTCTTCTCTTGGGTAATACAATTTTATTTGCAACAGTGCCTATCACAACAGGACCTTGATATTGGTTGGTACTACTGTAAAATAAATAACTGTACTTGTCTAATTGTTCTTGGAAACTATAACATGAAAGTCTTTTGACAACTTTTTAATTCTGTTTTGGTCTTTTCAGCTCTTTTTGTCTTTTCAAGGGAAATAAAAAGCAACAAATAATCTAGTAGCACTTTAAAGACTAACACAACACGTAGATGGTATCATGAGCTTTCGTGGGCACAGCCCACTTCTTCAAGAAGTGGATTGTGCCCATGAAAGCTCATGATACATCTACATGTTTTGTTAGTCTAGTAGCACTTTAAAGACTGTTTGTTGTTTTTTAAGTTTTTCCTGTTACATTTGAACAGTTTTTTTTATCATACACTTCATCTAACAGCTGCAAGGGAAGATTAATTGCAGTTTTATTATGAAATGCAATCTTCAGTAATGGACATAACTGAACACCCACTATAAACTCTGATACCAAAACACAGATGGGGTGTTTGGGTAGTCTTAGTTGCATAGTCTGCTGTGCAGGTGCTGGTTCTGCAAGCTAAGCAGGGTTAAACATAGTTCTTGGAAAAGTGATGACCAAGAAAATCCAGAAAATTACCTGTGGCAGAGAATGTGTTATACAAGTTACTGAATTGCTGTTTGCCTCTAATTCCATGCTTAACCAATGCATTCAATATTACTACTGTATTTCTGGAGGTACCATCCATTAGACAGCACCCGAAACTGAAGCCCTGACTCCTTGTGGTCACTAAGGATCCTGTGGTGTTTTTTGTAGTAGAAGTGGTGTTAGCCATGGTGTTTTGGCACAATATCAATTATATGGTATTTGTACTGTATTGTGGCTACCTACACTTCAGTTGGAGATTTAAATGGATACATTACACTTGTAATAGCATTAGTAACTGGAAAGGAAGAGAAGAGTCAGCAACATGTTCTCTGTCAACAACCAGTGAACCTCTGGGGTAAATGATGCTTTGTTCTGATGCTGGCTTAAATAACTATAGAAATTGCTCAAATTTGCACCCTGAGGATCCTAGTTTAAAGCTAATTTAGAGACATTTTAGAGTCAAGGGTTAGTAAGAAATGAAAAATGTAAATACTTTGAAATATTTTGAAGATATAAATCTAGTGAATGAAATAATTTAAGAAAAATCGGTGTTTTTTATATTTTATATTTTTCTTACAGGTGCAGAGCCTTCACTTTTGTTCTGACCTTTTTGCTATATACTAGTTTCCACTTGTCAAGAAAACCTATTAGTATAGTTAAGGTAAGCAACAACGAATCATTTTGTTTAAATAACCTCCTAATTTTATCCACAGGGAAGTATCCTTTTGTCTTTTTTGAAAGACAGTGCTCAAGTTTAACCCACAGTGCTATAAAAGCAATATACAGGTAATTACAGGTAATTGTCATACCATAATCTCATACTATAAATGTTTTTGCTGAAACCATACATAGAATACTGTGCATACTTCCGGTTTTAGGCCCTCATGCGAGTTAAGCAAAGTACATGCGTGTTTGCAGGATCAGGACTTGAAGTCTTAGAGCTGCTCAGTTACTCAGTCTTGACTGAGTAAATTGTGTGGATTTGATGATCAAAAAGGATTGTGCAGTACTACACATGAGCTAGTGCAGTGAAATCAGAGAAATACAATATGTTTCATTTTTGCCTTTAGTCTTTTAGAACAGATTGGCAGTATATTAACTTGAGGTTATTTCTTGTGTATATTTTTTAAAACTTTTTCAACAGCCTATTTATATCAAAACCAAAAATTCTCGCTCCATACTATAAATAAAAAGAAATGAACCTGTTATCAGAGTGCAAATCACTTAGAGATGGTTTCATTGTTTACATTCCAAACTGTCAAGTGTTTCATTAACCTTCTGATTTAATTCCCAATAAGAACCTGTTTATGCAAGAGATAAAACTGACTTGAACACTGTTTCCTTCATATATATACACCGAGAGAGAGACAGATCTTTCATATGAAACCCATGTTATCTTAAATTAGACTGTATTTTGCTGAGATTATAAAATAGCATTTTTTGACAGGGAATAGTTGTCAAAAGTGAAATTCCCATCCATACTGTTTCTGCAGTGTCAGTATATGTTCCTGTTCCATTTCATCTTGAGCATAAGGCTCCATTCCTGGAATGTGATCAGTATGTGTAAATCTCTACTTCATTATGGAGTCCTGGTCATGTCAGTGCAACTCTTCACAGACCTAGAAGTCTGGTCATGCACGTCAGCTTGCAGTATGGGTATGTGCAATTGCTGTGTGCTTGGGACTAAGGAGCAATGTTTGAGAGAAACTGAAAAAATTAAATGTATTTTGTATGAAGAAAGGGTATTGCAATGTTTTTAGATGACATAGGGACAAATTTGCCCTTATTCACAGCAGTGTAAATTCAGAATAACTTCCCTGAGGTTAATTCCAAATTTACACCTGTGTGGTTGAGAATGTCACTTACATATGAGCATTTTTTAAAAATATAAATCATTAACCCCTTTATACACAGTGAATAGATCATTCCTCGTAGGGAGAGGGATGGAGATATTCTGCTTCTGTGTGGTGTATATGGTGTCCCATACCACTGAAATATTCTTGTTGACTTATGGGAACAGCTGAGTGAACTGGAACATTTTTTCAGCATATTGATTAGTGTGCTGTGCTGTTGGAAATGCCATCTTTCCAATGATATATAAAATCCAAGTCTTGGTCTGTTTCTGATCATTCATGTTCCCATAGCACTTGAAATGATAATAGGGTGTTGATCTCTGCTGTGTCAATCCTGCTAATTACATTTCATCTCCCTAAATTTCCCTTGCAGTTTCAATGGAGTGTGTTTTCTCTTCTATCCCTGACCTAAATTTGGCTGTGCTGCATTATCTGGGATGAAATAAAATATACTTCCCTTGGTGATGCAAAGATAATGCACATACTTAACACTGTGCACAGAGACTTTGATGGGATTATTCACAATACTTAAAGTTAAGCAGGTACCTGTTTGCTAGATTCGGACTGCTGTTTTGAGCCCAGTCCTGCTTCAAGTGAAGTCTTGGCAAAAATTTCACTGACTTCTAATAGGTGTAGAATTGTATTTACTCTAATCTTATACCAGTGTAACTCCCAGACAAACTTTGTAGGCATCCTTTGACATTCAGTGACATGAAAGTGAAGCATAAGAATGGTTAATCAGCCCTAGTGTTTGTCATTGTAACATTGCTGTTAGCCTGACTGGTGAAGGGTGCTTCATTCATAGGAACTTATCCAAAGCCATTAGAGTAGATATTAGAGAGATGAGATGGATGAAAGAATATCTTTTGTTGGACTGACTCTAAGAAGAGCTCTGTGCCATTCTAAAGGCTGTTGAACCAATAGAAGCTGATTCCATAAAAAACATAACCTCGCCCACCTTGTCTGTCTGGGTATGTCCACACTACAGCATTATTTCAAAATATCTTATTTAGAAATAGTTAATTTGAAATAAGTTATTTCGAAATAATGCATCTACACACACAATGCATTTTGAAATAGCATTTTGCTATTTTGAAATAGCACGTCCACTCCGAGTGGACGTTTAATCGCATTTAAGGATGGCCGGAACCAGGTCCGGCAGGGCATCAGGTCAGGAGTTACTTTGTGTGGCTGCTGCCTGTGGCTATCTAGGCCTGTGCTTAAAGGGACCTCGCCCCACCCTCCCCGGACAGCTGGTTCTCAGGTTTCCCTGCTTGCTTGCCTACCTCAATGAGGGACAGCAAAGCATTTTGTCTCTGCGTGCTCTGGTTTCCCTCACTTGGGACACCACAGCACTATGCAACATGGAGCCAGAGCTGCCCCTGGGCACTCTGGTGCTTCTCTTGGATGTGTTGCTGCGAGCCTGGCTGCGCTTTCTGCAGGCTGCCATGTGGGAGGTCCATCGGTGGGCTGTCAGTATCCAGGAGGCCCTGCGGGAGAGCTTCCACCCTGAGGAGTACTAAGAGCCTCCCTGGTCTTCCCCACTGGGGGCTTGTGCCTCATTCCTCCCTCACATCCTTCCACTTCCCTCCCTCCACCCCCGTTCCTGATGTCAAATAAAATACACATTTTCATGAACACAAACTGTCTTTATTTAACAAAACTGATGGGGTGGAATGAAACTCTGGTGAGACTGGGGAAAGGAGGTGGGAGAGAGGAGGAGAGAAGGTGAGAGAGGGGAGGGGGAAACCTGGGAGGAGGGATCTGTACGGGGGAAATAAGGGGAAGAAGGGGGAGGGGAAGCTCAGGGCTCAGGGTTGGTGGTCTTGCCCAACTTGATTGTCATGCAAATCTGCTCCTGGGTTTGCATGTGGCCTTTGGTGGTCAGGCTGGCAGCTATCCTCCCATAGACGGCTGCATTCCTCCATCTAGTGCAGAGATCATGGAGGTTGGGAGCCCCCCCCCCCCAAACCTGAATAAGGTC